GCTCCCCCCTCCCTCGGCTTTTGTGATTCTTGTGTTCTTCTTACCGCGTCGAGCGGAATAGCCTATTCCCAGGTCGCTATCTCAATAGACTACCTGTCCCGTGCCTGCCAGGGCGAGAGAAGAACGAAAGCTCCGGGAGTTGTATGAGAAGTTCGTCGCCTGGAAGAGACGCGAATGCCGATTTTGACTTCTGTTATCGCTCTTATAGCATTGTCGTAGCATAAAACTAGCTATATGTACGCCAGACCACGTCTCGCGTAACAGGCTTCGCTATATCTCACGAAACACTGTTACCCTGCGACGCGCCTGCCGCTGGCGCACATATAGCTAGGCCTGCGGCGCTGACACCCGAGAACAGCTAATGGGATATTATACGCGAACAGGGCGTTCCGGCACAAAAATTTGACGTACTGACAACATGTGTCGGGGACATATTACTCAAAAATGACGGACATGAAACGTCTTCTGTTCGATAAAGGTTTTCATTAAAAGTTCGAATGAGTGATTTTAGCGGTTAGAAGAACAAGAAGAAGTTCCAAGATGGCCGCCGCGGACCACAACAAACATTCAACTGTTTTCCCGAAGCGGCTGCTAGCAGACGCCCGCGCGCAACGTTATATTGCGCCTATTTGAGTCAAATTTGGTATCATTTTGATCGGAAGAAAGAGGGGAACACATAAAATAGCATTTGAAGATACGTGACGAATTTTTCAGGTTCGTTAACAAGATATGGTGTTAGTTTGTTAAAATTGTGAACATGAACTATTATTTTCATAGATTAACACTAAATAGCATTCTTGAAGGTCCGATATCGTTTCCATCGTGTTCTTCACGATTTTCTGATTCTAACAAAACCAAGTTTGACTCCAACAGGCGCGATATAACATTTGGTAGGTTATTGGGGCTCCCGAGCGCGAGCGGCTGCTCGGGAAAACAGTTGAATGTTTGTTGTGGTCCGTGGCGGCCATCTTGGAACTTCTTCTTGTTCTTCTAACCGCTAAAATCACTCATTTGGACAGAATGTTATGTAAAAATCAACTTTTTAGTGATACTAGATGATCTAGGGACCCTTCAGCCCAAAAGAGGGTGTGGTTCGACCCGTAATGTGTGGTTGAAGTGTTACTCCCTTTACAATTCTGTGACATTAAGCCTTTTTAACGATTTAATAGACGAATTTGTCCTTTTCACGTTGTTTTCGACAAGAAATGACCCATAGCGCCAAATCGGTACAAGATAGAGCAACACGAACGAAATTTACGCCCACCACAAAAAATATTTGCAATAATAAATATTTGCAACTTTTGGTTTTTGATTTTTTTTAAAGTCAATTTTTGAGCTAGAAGGCTCATCTTCGAACTCGATCTGTCTTTTTAAAATACTAAACGACCCAGAAATTCCCAGATCGCGATCTCAATAGAGTATTGGTCTACAGCGCTGAGCGGAAGAAGAAGAACAAAAACGGAAGTTGGAGTTGGAAAGGCTCTCGCCCCCTCCTCTACTGGGCGGAGTGGGGGTGCGTCCGGTGCAAAGTAGTGGGGACAGCAGGCGGAGAGGAGTGCGGGTGCCTTTCCACCTTCCGTTTTTGTTCTTCTACTTCCGCTCAGCACTCTAGACCAATA